TTACCCGGGATCCGATCTTAATAAGAAAGCATGTCTTTCCGGATTAAAAAAAAAGAAGAAAGAATGAAAGTAATAAAAACCCGACAGTCAATATTCAACAACTAATGGCTTCAATATTTCTTAAGATGAAGGCAGGACGTTCTGAAGAATCAAACATCTGGCAAACTCTGGTTTCACTTCAAATAACAGTTTTAACATTACATTGTTTATGCTTACATAACAGAATAAAATCGTACGCTTTATACAATATTTAAAAAAGACCGGAATGAGCTTAACTTCGGTTAATTTTGTTTTTTATTAAAATTTAAAGCTTTTTCTGGAAGTAGTGAATTTTGACATTACTAGTATAAGTATACGAAAGTCGAAGTAAATAATTTTGCAACATTAATTAAAATTTCAGCACCAAAAAACCCAATATGCCAATAATTAAAAATGTATAATATATCTTTTTACATTTTTCAATTTTAAGTTAAAGTTATAGTACAAGTTTACTTGGCCTTATGACTAAAAAAATTAATCATTATAAAAAAATATCGGAATATAACAATGTATTGACTTGAATGTTGTCTGTAAAGCTATTATAAATTGGTAAAAAGAAATTGGCCTAAAAACCAGCGAGAAAAGACGGACCATGATCAGGGGTTATCAAAGTACCCCACAGACCTCACCAGAAGTCTTGAGTCAGTTTTCACCAACGGTTTTAACGTGGGTATTGTAACATAGAGATAACATATTAACCAACTAATCGGCCTAATAGAAAATTTATACTGTTTCACGACGATAGAGGTATCAACCCGAAGGTTCCAGTGGAAAAATAGCCTTTTGTCAAATTTGAACACTGAGAGTTTTGAATAGTATGGGACATAAATAAAATATCAATACACAACAATTATCACATTCCTCGTGTAAACAGTTCAAAAGAAGATGAACTAAAGTCCAGCAAGGTGGGCTTGGTTATTATAGACAAGTTACAAGATCATTATATCGCAGAACTCAAATTTTTGAGTCAATTTTAACGTAAATATTGCAACAAGAGATTTTGTAAGAGATAATGTATTAACCAAATAGTCGGCCAAAACGTATTTACGGGGATTCGCAAAAGCACAGTTCATATCAACCCCGAGGTTCCGTTGTTTTTGCAAAAAAATCCTGTTTTTCCAATAGTATGATACTTAAATAATTGATTATAACAATATCTTGATATCTTTATGTGCACTGTCCAAACGAAAATGTCTCAAAAACCAACAAGGCATACTGTGGCGATATAGACCGTCAAGTTACAGTTCAATCACCTCGAGACCTCACCAGAGGTGTTGAATCAATTTTAACCAACAGTGTTAACGTATTATAACCTGTAGCTAGTATAAACCAAATAGTCGGCCAAAACATTATTTTTTTACAGGTGTTCAAAACAGAAGAGGTCATATCAACCTCCGAGTTTATGGAGTTTGAAAAAAAAAAGGCTTTTAGTAATATTCGAACGAAGAGGTTCTTGAATAGTGTGAGACATAAATCAATTATAAATTCAATATCTTGGATTTATTTTGTTCATAGACGAAAAGAAGAGGTCCAGAAACCAGCAAGGCGGACTGTGATTATCATAGACCGTCAAATTACAAGTCCATCAACTCTCAGACCTCACCAATCTTTTTGGCCCTGTTTTAACGTAAGTGTTGTAAAATAAAGATAATGTATTACCCATAAAATCAGCCAAAACTACTGTTGCGAAACAACAGAGGTCATATCAACCGCATAGGTCTCAGTGTTATTGAAAAAAAGCACATTTGTAAGTACTCATGGTTCCATTCAGGTCCGATGAGATTCGAACCTGGGACCCTTGCACTGACCGAGTCGCCGTTCCAACGCTCTAACAGTCGTGGCCACCACACCCTAGCTAAATCAGTATAGACTGCACAAAAAAGCGAGATTTTGGGGACCATGAAAATTTTTATTACCTCCCAGAGGTCACTTGTGAAAATAAAAATTGAGTATATCTTAGCTTATTTTTTAAATTAATTAATTATACATACATTATATCATACAGTATGCAGCACTAAATACATACTAAATACAACAATACTTGACTTGCATTTTCGTAAAGACAATAAAGAAGAAATATCAACGTTTTTCCTATTTCGTTTATACTACTAGTATTTTCTTTGATAATATACTTTTTAGAATTTGGAGATGGACTGTCCAGTGGACAATGTCAAACCATATCGATCGAGAAAAGGAAAAGACCACCCAATATTTTGCTGTACACACACGAGAAACCTAAGTGCGTACCGTAGTTTGTAATTAAGCACCAAGAAAGTAAATTCGTTGTTTTTTCCCCCGGAAACGCCAATTTTTAATTAAGGTACGGTGTAATCCCACAAAATCCCTTCTCCCCCTGGCATTAAAGCTGCACCTGCGACAGTAACGCTCCTATTAAAACTTTTGACGACCAATCAAGGCAAACTTGACGTCGGTAATATTTGCTTTGCAAATTCCCCTTCGTAATAAGGAAGAAACACACTCACATCCCGGGTTTCTACTCTGGTATCATAATGACATCTAAGAATAGGAGTGTAACGGCGGCGAATTATTGTATGAACTATTTACAGGGGTGTAACGAGGTAAAATGTCAACAATTTAATAATACTTATAATAATTATGTCTATCTAATATTATCTTTAAATAACAAAAAAAACCCCAAGCGTCTTTGTACAAACAGCTTTGACATACGTAATTACGTTGAAATGTTTCGATAAACCTTGTAAGGCACACCCTTAGGAAAAACTACTTCTAGGTGTTTTTCTTGTCGAAACTGCTTCAAACTATCTTATATTTTAGGTTTTCTTCATTTTATAACTTTCTACCCACCAGATAATCAATTTCAGCCGGTATAACCAAGGTTCTGCTTTCTTTCTTTATGTATCATGTTGTTCTTCTTATGTAATTTCTTGTTACCCTTTTTCAACCGAATTATCTATTACAGATTGTACATTTGTTAGTATAAACAGCTGGATTATGGTAGATTGTTGAAACTGATATGTCAACGCCTGATTAACTACTCCAACGCCTCTTCAAGTTACAGTACATATTATATTATATTATACAAACATATTAATTAAACTTTTTCTAAATAATAAGCCGATTAAACTCTAACTTTTACATATTTTGCCGTTGTTAGTATGAAACAATTTTTACTTTTACATTTATATTAAATAATTTCCCACATTCTAAAAATTAATCATATCTAAATTTTATTTCACTACCTACGATAAGATTTTTGTCACTACCTTGCTATTCCCTCAACGAAACAGTTTTTAATTTTCTAATTTTAAATCAATAAAACTTTTCAAAAAATATATTTTTGAAAGAATAAAAAACTGAACCTATATATTGATGTTTTCATATATTCATATATAATTATTATAGTAATTTTCAACAAATTGTCTAAACCTTCATAAAAATTACTTTAATTTGTACGACTTAAAATTGTATTTATTGTATAATATATTGAATTTCGCTTTTGTGTATGCTTTGTTTAAAAACAATTGTTTTGTTAAAAGTAAAATTTACAATAAATGACACTTCCCAATGGAAGGGCCCCCTTTTATCCTTTTGAGGGCTGATGACTTTGGATCCGTCTATTCTCGCTGGTTTACGGTTTTTTTCTCTTACCCGAATAATCAGTGTCAATCAACGCGTTTTCATCTAAATGCAGACCAAAATACTCGTAAACCTACCGTATTTCTAAAATCGTCAGGTCTTTTCAGATCCAGTTTAAGTTGTGCAGTTCAAAAATAGCAACACATAAGCGAGAATAGACGGACCCAACGACATCAATGTCGGTGAAAGCGTTATCATCCGCTCGCGGACCTACAAAATCGAAATCCAAAGAATTCTTAAAATCGTCAGGATTAACCACCCAGTTTTCAGTTTTCTTGTTCAAAATAACAAAACATCAGCGACAATAAACAGACCCAAAGTCTTCAGTGTCGAACAGCGCGTTCTCATCAACACGCAGACCGAAAAACTCAAAATATACCTTATTTCTCCAATCTTCAGGCTTTTTCTCATCCAGTTTTTGAGTTGTTCAATCAAACAAACCACACACGTCGTTGAACTCGTTTTTATCCATTCGCGGGTCTGCAAACTCGAATTCCACCGATTTCTAATACCGTCAGGCTGTTTTCTATACAGTTTGACTTGAACAGTTCGAAAATAAACAGACAACCGAGAGAATAGATGGACCGAAAGTCATCAGTGTCGATGAACGTGTTTTCATCCTGTCGCAAACTGAAAAACTCGAAAACTACCTATCCTGAAATCGTCAGGCTTTTAATCATCCAGTTTTAAGTTTTCCAACTCAAAAATAATCAGATATCAGCAAGAATAGACGGACCAAAGTCACCAGTACCAATCAACTTGTTTTCATCGGGTCGCTGACAACCACCAAATCATTCCTGTTCCTGAAATCCTCGGCCTTTTTTCCCATACAGTCTTGAGTTTTCCGATTCAGTAATAACCAGACATGACCAACTGGTCGTCGACTCGTACCCGTAAATGCACAACGTGAGACCGGATGCGGTACAAAACCGGAAATAAGGGTCAGGGGCCGGCGAGTGGCATTTGCATTCGACAAAAAAGACTCACCCACAGGTGAGATCACACGAGATCATCGATGATCACGGATTCTGGCCGAACGCATTTGGATTTAAACGTTGCCATGGGGACATAGTTAAGAGGGCAAGCTGTCAACTAGGGGGGCGTTCCCTAAACTGTTTTCTTTTTATTTATAATTATTTTTTATATATAATAATTTTTTTATTATGTGATAATTGTTTTCAAGACTTGTAACATTTTTCGTAAGACTTTTTTTTACAATTGACATTAAAGAAATGTTATATAACAATTCTAATAAGTCGATTCTGTTAGGATGGGTCAAATATTTAGTGTTTGTTATTTAGAAAAGAAAACAAAGGATGTAGGACGTAAACAAGCTTATTTACCTTGTATGTATCCGATATTGAGTGAGATAAGCACAGCACAGAGCACAAAATTCACAAGGTTGGTCATCGTCCCGTGTCTAGGGCGTAGGGAAAGATCAAAAAGGGCGCTTTTTCGAAGATTGTACAAGTGTTTTGAACCTCTACGCAGGCATTGGGACGGGCATCACCAACACAGCGTTCGCCTAATCTACTACTGATGAGTAAGAGGAGCCCGGTGGAGTTGGTAGGCGAGTAGGGAGGCCAGGGCAAAGTTGGGAGGGGTTGTGACGCGAGGCGCAGTCTCGACAACGGACCGGTTCCCCAGTGATGCACGGCTACGGACTCTAGGAGAATTGAGAATTCCCGCCTCGAGTAAGCACGGGTCCTACTTGAAACAGTTTTCAAGTCCGGCTCATGATTTTGCAAAAAAATAAAACAAAAGACGACTACATACGCTGACAGGCAAAAATTCCACCCAATTGATTTTTTTTCATTTTCTCAATGAAAGAAAATTCTCCCTTTAATTTGTTGCTGTTTTAAATTGGGAATATCAATTAGAGGTAAACACTCATAATCCTTAATCCAAAACAAGGATAAAGGATTTTTCAATATTTACTTTTTACGGAAGTTAAAATGTTTATTCAGTCTCATTTCAATTCTGAAGCAATGAACTGTTTAGTTTTCATCTTTGTTTTCTTAATTTCAAATGTGGAACTTAAAAATGCCACTCAGTACTGAGGAAGTAGCACGTCGTGTGGCATTTATTTGATGATGGCGTTCCATCAGGTATGCGACTATTGCTATCGGAGTTCCCCACGAAACACTGCAAAACGTTTTCGAGAAACTGGCTTACCATAGAAGGCCCGGTTCTGGACGCCCTATAAGTAACAGAACCTGAGGATGACATTTTTTGACTTTGAGAATTTTTCGAAACTGGCACTTTAATGTTGTTCAAGTGGTTCATCAGCTCCAGGAAGTTCGAGGTATCCAAATCTCTGAATGCACTGCTCAAAGAAGATTAAATCAGTATGGACTGATGGCTTTTCGCCCCATAAGAGGACCAGAATTGACTAAAACGCACAGAACTGCACGGCTCGGCATTGGTCTTTGGATGATTGGTCTGCTGTACTTTTTACAGATGAGTGTAGATTTGCTCTACGATCTACAGATGGGCGTGAAAGAGTGTGAAGAAGGTGAAATTAAAGATACGAAGCCTGTTTTTTCCCAGAGTCAACCTTTTCAACGTAGCTCAGTGTGGGCGGGAATTTCAATGTAGAGTCGCACAGAGTTTGCTGGTCGTGGAGGGTCTTTGACAGCCACTCGCTATGTGGATCAAATTTAAAACCACTTCCATCACTTCCTGATACACTCCTGTCTTGAAAGGACTCTTCGTGAAGAAAGGGCTAACCTCTAGCAAAGAGACATTTCCAGACTGGTAGAAAGTATGCCAAGGCATCTTCAAGATGTAATTAAAGCAAGAGGAGGGAGGAAATAACGCGATATTGAAACGTTAATTGAAAATTTAAAACAAATTTGATCAAGCCGTCTTTTTTCCTTAGCAATTTAATTTTTTTTAACTTTTTAGACAAAGATTCGTTTATTAAACGTTAAAGAACATGAAACTTTTAATAATATATAAAAATATGTACAAATCAAGTTATGTTACAAGTGGGTGGAAGTTTTTGCCTGTTAGTGCATATTAAAAAAATATAAACAAATTAATTGAAAAAAGTTAATTGGTCAATCGGACCACGAACTCTAATGGATAAATAAAATGGACTAATAACCAATTTACATCGTAAACGACGTACCGTTTCCGAAAATAGGCTAATAACAAATTTATGTCGTAAACAAAACCAACTGTGGTAGTCGATTTTAATTTTAAAGTGAATCCTTTCGTTCTCTTGATCAACAGTCTTTTCAGAGATATGGATTTATATAAGCTCAAATCTGCACATGTATGCATTAGATTAGTACAGGGTAATACATGTAAAGGCTAATGGAGAATATCGAGCACTCCACCACACTGAGTGAATGGTATGTAAATAAGAAAGAACGTATTTAAGAGTGAGTGAAGTGTGAATGGGTTTAGTTTTAGAAACGGATTCGTTGGGGGCTGAAATGACCTAGCTGTTGGTCTATACACACACCCCTTGAGCCCAAACTTTTGGAAGATGGAAGGATAAGGCCGAGGTCTGGCCCAGCACTGCCAACGCCCGATTGGGTGGTTCTCGAGGCCTGCCGGTAATTTGTTGTATATTACAAAACTTGGAATTGTCGGTAGACTGGGAGAAGTGATAGGCTCAGCTCTACATGTGTGTACTGTATGTACACACATGAGCAGAATGGAGTTTGCATAAATTAGTAATCAGTAATTCACTCTACCCCAGAGTATTGGATATTCCTCGAGGTGATTGGGGAAAAGACACCGCATTCGCGCTAATAATTTACTTCCATTTCATTTGTCGCCGAGAATCGAATAGACGACATTTGAAAAATGGCAAAAAGGAGGGAAAATTCGAAAGGTGGGGTTGAGATGGGAAGTTAGTGCCCGAGTGGATCGAGGTCACGATAGCTCAAGTGGTAGAGCAGCGGCGTATCTAGCCGAAGATCGTGGGTTCGAATCCCGCTCGTGCCATTGACTTTTTTTATCTCAACTAAAAACCTTAATTAATTCTAATAATTTACATTCACCCAACTACAGAGTACTCAAATGCCTCGGGGGATAAGCCCCGCATTCGCGCTAATAATTTACATTCGCCCAGCCCAGTGTACTCAAATGCCTAGGGGTGATTGGGGATAAGACACTGCATTCGCGCTAATAATTTACATTCGCCCTACCCCAGAATACACGATATTCCTCGGAGTAATTGGGGAAGACCTTCCATTCACGAAAATAAATGCATAGAAAACATAAATAAATCCAACAATTGTTATACGACCTATAATATAGAAAACTCTATTACAAATTAACATAATTCTACAATTACAAATTAATAAAAAGGGTGTATTTATCAATTTCAAAACAAATCTATCGCCCTTTCATGGTTGAATTTTCTTTGAAATATTTTCTCTCCTAGTTTGAAAAAATACTTCATATGACTATTAATATCTAATAGTTAAAGAATTGAACGATAAATGTTAACATTCTGTTCCCCGGCGTGTTTATGTAGGAAGGCTGGATTTTTTTGCTTTGTGAGATAAAAAATATTTACATTACCGACTGCATAAACAACCATCAATCACAGTTCTAAACTTTGCTGTGGAAAAGTGAAAGGCATTCGTTGAATGTTATCTCAAAAATTATTAATTAAAAATAACTTTACTTTCAATCCAAGTAGGTTTATAAACGATTAAAAAAAATCAAATTTAGAAATTTAATTGTTCACTCTAATTTTCTCGACTCTAACGAAATCGAATACTGTTTTTCAATCAATCAAACTTTTATTTTACCGTCCTCAGCTATAAAATCAAAGTTTACCGAAGAAAGTGAGGCATTATGTCGGATTTTTCCTTACTTTACATAAGCTTTAAGCCTGCCAAATAAGCTTTAACAGCTGTCTGCTTCCAGCTCACTAATCATCTTATCATGGTTTATGTTTACTTATTAATTATTCACATCTTATCAAGTTGTATAGTTCAACCTTACTAAGTAATAAGTCATGATAACTCGACTTTATTAAAATTACAAAAAATAAAATTATTTAATTTCGGCATTTATAAAACTAAGGAAAGTAACTTTACGAACGCCATAAACTAAGAAAATGATAAAATATTATTTTATTAAATTTTCTCATTCATTAAACATAATAGGTAAGCAACTATCACAAATCAAGAAAATGATGAAATATAAAAAAATGTTTAAATTATACAATTATTAAACTAAATATGATAGCAACTTTATATTAGAAATCAAGAAAATTACAAGATATTTAGAAAAAATTTAATTTCGAGAACTAGTAAGCTAAATAAGACAACAATTTTATTCTAGCAATTAAGAAAATGACGAGCAATAAAATTATTTAATTTCGACAATTGTTAATCTTATTATATCAGCAATTAGATATTACAAATTAAGAAAATTACGAGATATGAAAAATTATTTATTTTCCACATTTAATAAACTAAACATAACACCGACTTTATATCACAAATTAAGAAAACGGTGACACTTTTAATGTGTCAAACCACTTAATTGCCATACGTCGAAGATATAAAATTTCCTTAACCGTCTTCAAAAAAGTGTTAAAAAAGTTTAAATAAAAAGAATTAACCAACCATAAAAAGAAAACACGAATGACAACAAAGTGAAAAGAAGAATTTTCACCAGTATTAAACTAAACACAGACAGAAACTAGATATATCAAATTAAGAAAATGACGAGTAATAAAATTATTTTATTATGACAATTATTGAACTAAATATGACAGCATCTAGATATCACAAATTAAGAAAATGACGTTATAAAATTATATAATTGAGAGAATTATTAAACTAAATATGACATCAACTAGCTCGATATCGCAGATTAAGAAATTGAGATATGAAAGCAACAATTATTAAACTAAACGTACCAATCAAAAATAATTAAATTGGCTTATCAGAAAATATTATTTTCTTATACAATTGATACGTTTTGAGGCCCAGTGTGTTTTTATTTTTTTGCAGTAATGTTATTTTTTTTTTATTATTTCTTACTTATCTCTTTTACAGTTACAGCCCAAATTTACAATTCCCCCCCCCCTTATTTATGTAGTCCTACATTCTTATTTATGTCCTGTCCTTTTCCGCCCGATTGGAAAGGTCTGGGCGGCATATTGTTTCTCGTACAGTTACCGTCGGTTAATTAATTAAGAGAAACTTCTGACAGGAATGCAAAGAACTTCCTGTAAGGTCGAGAACGATAAGCTAAAATCAGATGAACTTACTACATAGAAAATAGTCCATTCATTAGATAACAGTTATGTACATCGTATAAGGGATAGTTTACCGTTTACAGAAACTAACTGTAAGATATCTCGTCGTTTCCCTACATAGGTAATATAGAAATTAGAGACGGCATTTGTGCCTGTGATTTGATTACAAAGAGTGAGGATAAAGATCCATTACCTTCACATGTACATCATCCATTGTTCTTTTTGAATGGCAATAGAGTTCGACCTGCCTTCTGACAATCAAATGGTCAATTCTAAAGCTATTAACTTTGACCGAGTAAATGCAGTTATCAACGAAAAGAGGACTGTATTAATGAATATAAATGAAGTTCCTTTTCTTCCATGACAACCCAATTTCTCATACTCTCTCGGTGGTGAAATAAAAATCGTTGCAATTGCTCTAGAACTCGGTAAATCAAACGCATTTTTTCGTCAGGCTATAATTTTTGCCCGTGATCTATGAAGATTTGAAATCAACAATTGATGATTGGGATCAGGTATGTGGTCCAAAATGAAGTAGTCGTATTTTTTTTTGCCTAGCTTTCGGCTTTTTATTAAGCCTTCCTCAGGGCTCTTCAGAAGGTTAAACACAATTATTTTAATGGCATAGGCTCACAAGAAAACAATATTTGCAATGAACTTACGGATTCTTAATTAAAAAAAAAAAAGAAAAAAAAACTACGTGCCGCTTTTATTTTTATTTTTGTTTTTTAAATTAAGTATCAGTAAGTTCATTTCAAACATTGTTTTACTGTGAGCCTTTGCCATTAAAATAATTATGTTTATCTTTCATTAGAGCCCTGACGAAAGCTTAATAAAAAGCCGAAAGCTTGGTAAAAAAGACAGGACTATTTCATTTTCGACCAAATACCTGATTCCAATCATCAATTGTTAATCATCGCTGGCCGATAATTCTCTGGGTGATTTAAGACCAAATCCAAAACAGAACTTTCTTAGCTGGCAAATAAATCCGAATAATTTAATAATTTAGTAATTATTATTATTATGTTATATCAACCCTCGGGGTGCCGGTGTTTTTGAAAAAAGCCCATTTATAAGTATGTCGGGTTCGAATGTAGGGCCGCTGGATTCGAACCCGGGACCCGCTACCTTACAGTGATGAACGTCAACGCCTAAACCGTTGCAGCCACCGACGCCCCTTGAGCTACTATACTTTTTGGTAAAAATTACGTTTACCATGCGGACTTGTAAGAATTTTAATGTTTATTTTTACGTGCAATATTGTTGCTTTTTCTTATATATATAACTTTTTGAAAGCATCATCTTGGCAAAGAAATGTGAAAAAAATTAAGTGATTTTTTGCTAAGGTATGTAATGATTATTACAAATTCATAACTGTGATGAAGGCAAATTTTAGTTCTATAAAAACTTCTTTTTCAGATTTATGAAATTCTAATAAGTAGCTTTAGAAACATTACTAACTTTTATGTTTTTCGTTATAAAATTGTAGTTAGTAATTAGTGTAGGCAATCAATTGTTGTATTTAATTTAACGTTAGTTGAGTTAAATAATAAATTATTAATGAACAGTGTCGATAATTTACACCCGAGAAAAACTAGGAGGCTAGGAAAATTCCAACTCGTGTTCAAAAAATCAAAAAAACGCATCGTTTGTGCTATCTAGCGGTGAATTGGTAGACTGGATTTAGAATCAGCACAGGATGCTGTTGCAAATTAACATATGCTTGATGTTCTGCTCAATAGGACATTTTTATGGTCATTTAGGAAATAAAAACCACCTGGCAAAAGTTCACTCTGACATTATCATGTAAAACTCATATGTGCTGCCTTATATGAAAACTTCATCGCATTACGCTACGCTTCGTCTGTTGAAGACAAAATTTATGATGAATTTATGATTATATTCAGTCCAGAGCACGAGTTCTAATTTTTTTATCGCTCATGACAATGTTATATCAGTTTCTTATTTATTTATGTGTGTGTGGTGTTTCATGACCGTTAGTTAATTATTATTTGGAGATCGTGAGATGCGGTCTGGTGTGTCGTAGGTTTTAGAAAAACATTTTCTTTATCGTGCCAATGTTTCAATCTTTTTTGAGAACATCTTCAGAATCTGGGATTTATAAACATTGTTTCAATTGTACAGATAAATCTAGGATGTGAAAAAGTGAATTCATACAATGCTAGAAATTTTAGACTCAATCAAAGTATTTGTACTCACTGAGTGAGCTCCATGTATTTTAAACAATGTTTATAAATCCAAGGCCCTGAAGATGATCTCAATAAAGATCGAAACATTCTGATCGAACAGCCTGCCCTGTTACCTGTTTGTGAATTTCAAACAACTATCCTCCCAAACAATAGACCGCTATCCATTACATCCTACTCCGACACCGAAATCAATGACCCTTCCACTTTCATTTTTGTACTTTCCCTTCCACACTCAATTTCTGTATTGGTATTTGCTAAAAAGAAAGGTTCCATTCTTGTCAGACTACTTGCCAAGTCCCGTTAAGACATCCACTCCTGAACTTAGAATAAGTAGTAAAGAAAGAAGTAAAAAACCGTCAAACCGTTAAAAAAAAGCTATGTAAAATAAAAAGTCATTCTAATTATTACTGTTAAATTGTGGTATATGCTTTATTATTAGCCTGTATATAATTAGTATATAATATAATTTGTACCACTTTTGTTATTTAGTCACTGAAGATGATATTAGACCAAAACGCGTCATCTTAATAGAGCCTGCCTTAAAAGAGGTCTTGCAGATTCTCCTCTAGCCAGCGTGTTTGCCTTTTCATCACCTAAAATTCCCTTGTGTCCGGGTACCCTAAATATTATCATGTTGTTGAGTTTCCCAAGGTTCTGCAGATTTTGGAATGCATTCACTGTTTAGTTTTGATGTGATTTATTTTACACCCCAATGCTTTAATAGTTGCTTATCAATCCAATCTTATGATGACTTTTTGTCAGTGTAACCTCTTTTAAGATTTTTTAAGGCACAAGTGTTGATGTATTTCAGTTTAAAAGAGTTTGACCCTAATGAAAGCAATCGCTAATATTTTTAGCTTGTATAGAAAACGCCTGATCCGATTCCTTCATTTGTTTTAGTGTCAAGTGTATACCATATCATTGTATATGATTTCCTATTGAATTTTTCTTCTCCTTTGTAGCCTGTTGAGACTGTATTACATGTACAGAGAATTTTTGTGGTCATGTGGTCACTAAGAGTTCGTCCTTTTTAAAAAGATGGTTACTACTTACAGTAAGTTGTTTCGCAATAATCCGGATTTCGAGCCCTTTAGTTCATCATCAGGTTGAAGGGTTTCTACAAACACGACTCTCGACATGAACTGCAAAAGTGAACCCGCTGATACCCCCGCCAACGCGACGTTCCAATGAGGAGCTGGTTTTTTAATGGCGCGAACGTGCGAAAAGCGGGAATTATAACACAAATAACTGTTATAATAGTAAATACTGTAAGAAATTAATTATAAATTAGTGATTAAAGATTAAATATAAAAGATAAAAAAATTAGAATAATACGTTAATATTATTAAATTATTATAAAAATAATAACAATTAAAATAATTAATTTAATTATTTGGACGTTTAATATTATTTATGTACATATTTAAAATGGGAGGTCGATCAAAATCTGTTATATTATTAAAGCATTTATCACCATGTTCAATTTTACATTTTTTAATTTCAAATTAATTTAATTTCAAATGTATAGGACAAAGCGGCAGAGAAATGAAAACAAGAGTAAAAGAACACTTGCCTAAAACGAGCAAATTTTTTATTATTAACGCATTTATCGCCATGTTCAATTTTACATTTTTTAATTTCAAATTTCTCAAACCAATCTAGTTCTCTCCCTTTGTTGAAACTATGTAACAGTGTTGTATTTAAATTTGAATTGAAATTATGTTTTGTTTCTTTTAGATGGTCCTTAAATTCCGAAAATTTGCTCGATTTAGTGTTCTCTTACTCTCATTTATATTTCTCTACCACTTTGACCTATATATTTAATATTACAATCATTACAATTGAGTTGGCAAAAAACGGGATGTACCAAATCAATTGTAATGATTGTAATATTAAATATATAGGTCAAAGCGGTTGAATGTCAGATAGAATCTACTCTAAAGTTAGATAATTACGTTTTAGGTTAGTTTTTTATGGTTATGATCTTTATAGATTGATCCTTATGCTAAATTGTCTCAGCAGTCAAAAAGAACCGCTAACTGGAGACCAATTCTCCCTAGCGTCCCTACACTACATTCTTCGAACTTCTGATCAACTTTATTATAATATTTTTACGTCATTTAAAATTATAAATGATAATGAAAAAAAAGTTTTTAAATAGAGCGGTTTTCCTTTTGCGGTATTTCACCCGTTTCAAGAAAATTTATATCGGCGAATAATTATTTCTATACCTTGGCCCCTTGGGGCCTTGGGCGATAATGTTGATAACTGCGAGTTTCTCCCCTCTGTCGTCGGTCGGGCTGTATTTCTTTTTTGAAAAAATAAAATCGAAATTATCTTCCATTAGCATTGGAGAAAATGGCCAGGGTCCTCGTTGGAGTCAAACGAGTCATCGACTATGCTGTTAAGGTAAATAACTGCCTTATATTTTCTATAAAAACCTGTTATAATTTATATGACAACTGCATTCGACGTACCAGAATTGTTTAATAATTTCAAGGAGGTAGTTAATTTATTTTAATTCCTGAGGTTTATTATGTCCTTGAAATTATAAAAGAAGACTGTTTTAAAATGCAAAAAAAATGTTACTCAATAGCACTGTCTAAATGAACAATTGTTCTTTAAAAAACAGTAAGAAAAGTTAAACTTTTAAAAATCTATATTTTATTAGACTCATCTAACTGCTAAAATTATTTTATAATGGTTTTTCAATTAATGAATTGAAATGAATTTTAATAAAAAAATCCCATGCTTTTTATCTCATCCTTTTAGAAAGTTTTGATAAACGAAAATAAATAGTTTGTCCTATATAAACAGAACATTTTTCCCATGTTTAATCCTGTCTACATCTGCCAAAATTCTGCTGTTTGAAAATTTGGATATTTACAAGTGGAAATTAGCCGGGTTTCAGCCTTTCTTGCAGGTGGATCTAAGTCCAGCGAGGGTGTGGCATGTGCTGTGTAATGCGAGGGATACTTCACTGTAGCGGTTACATGTTAGAACATGATTTGGCATGCACTTGGCATGGGGGGGATCTCTGTCTACCTAGTCTGCACCGACTCCCACAGTGTGGTCACTGTTGTCCACAACGCTGTCCATTCTTTCGTCATGCTCTTGCTGTGGAGATACTCTAAACAGGAGTATAACGGCAACGATTGTCTGAATGCCTGGATACATGAGTCTGGGGTAATGAAAATGGGGGGCGAGGCAGTCTGAGATGTCGCTGCCTCCAGCCGGACTAGGGGGGTTTCCATTCGAATAACAAATAACGGATAATTTTTCATTCGCGCCAATCATCCGAAAGTTTTGTAGATAATTTGTGATCTAGATAATGCATGCCCGCCCGTGGATAACGAATAAAAAATTACCTGCCGAACTATGGATGACGAATCATCTACTTGAGAAATCATCTAGATGAAAAATCATCCGTTATTCGTGGCATAGATAACCTTACAGATAACTTCATTCAAGTGAGTAGTACCTGTACGCTGTATGCTTTGCTTTTATTGCACTTCATACGTGTTGCTGTAGCTGATATAGTTTTTCCGTCTAATTAATCCTTCCCCCTTCTCTCTGTTTCTTACAAAAGCTGATATACAATGAGAAAGGAATTATTTTAATTCCAGTAGGTATGAGCATGAACTTGGTTTGTTTACTAGGTTAATCATCGCAGCTAACGGTGTTGACTTTTGTACGTACCGACTATTTTTAAGGAAGTAGCTTCCTGCTAGCTACAACATGAAAGGATTAAGATTTTTGCTTGGTTTTAGACCTGGAAAAGTTGACCATTAACGGTAAAACTTATTTAGCCAAACGCCTGTTTATCTGATTGAATAGTACGTAAATAACAACTTGTAGGAAAACAGAAGTACATGATTTACTCTCACTTCGCAGTGGATAGGTATGCACTTACTACAGTGCTTGTACTATCTTCAATGTCTATTCTATCTCACACTATATAGCCGATTTCAACCAGTAACAGCCTGAGTAGAAGCGAAATCCGTGGAAGTAAAATGAAACTGAATTGTGGACCCATTTATACCCTGCCAGTGATCCGTTATTTCCCATTATCTAGATAACGCTTTATTCGAGTAATCAATTTATTCGAATAAACGGTCATCCGCATGTTTCACGAATAATGCATTATCTACATAATGCGTCATCTAGGTGATGCGTTATCTAAATGACGGTCATCTTCACAGAAGATAATGGAATAAAAAAAATCATCTGTTCAACTTATCTAGATAACGATTTATTCGAATAACCCCCCTTCTCTGCCTCCAAAGCTCTGCCCTTTTGTTGCTAAAAATGCAATAAAAACATGATTAAAAGAAAGTGGCAGTTTCTGTGGGATGGATGGCAGAGAAGCTCATGCATCAAGAGCTTGGTTCACCTCGGAGGATCTGTCTCATAGAATAACGGTATAACCGAATAAGAATAGATGCCAGGTTGACACACAAATACTTTTAGGTCAAAGCTTGAATGTTTTCAGCATGTTGAGGTAGGTTGCTCGATTTGTTCCTCTTAATTAAAGAATAACAATTCTTGGATCCATATAGTGAGCCTGTAGGAATGACCCGATGTGAGAATTGTAATTCAGCATGGCAGCGAGTTTCTGGGTCCTGTGTTTAGATGTTTCAAGAAAACAGGGCTGATTTTTCCACTTTTTTAAAAGTATTATTCTACTCATAGCATTGTAGTTAGCAGCTATCCAGATTTCGAGCATTAAATCCTCATAATCAGGTTGACGAAATCTCACTGCCTTGCGTGACTCCCAAATCCATTGCCAATGTTGACGTTCCGTTCAGAAGCTGGTTTAGGGCTGTTTTACTGTGTACAGATATCTCCTTTTGTGTTTCTTAGAGTATATTGAGAATAAATGTATTTATTGTGTATGGTGAGAGATGGTGGAATATACTCTATCAACTCTCAGATTAGTTATATACTAAAAATATTTATAACTGATTTAATGTGTCAAAACCACTTGCTAAGAGATAGTCTTTGTGTCACTACTTTTTTCCTCTTTGTAGAGGTGCCCTCTAAAGAGAGATTCACAAAATCTGACACATAGCTGTCTGTATATGTACAGATACTACATGTGAAGTGTAGATTGAGATGCACATTTTTCCAATTGGAGTCGTGTGGATTTCTCTCTTTATCACTTAAACTTTTGTATATTGTGCCAAAATCTGTTAATGGTTTTCCTGGTGGTTGTTTCTTTTATGAAATAAAGAATTCTTCTAAGGAGTGTAGTATCAAGATTTGTGTGATTCAAGATTTGTTTTCCCAGGTACCACAGAATTTTCCTAGTTACTATGGGGCATAGGATATGTGGCATTGTCCCTGTCTCTTCTAGACACCATCGGCATTAGTCAACTGTTGATAATTAAATTTTTTTTAAGTTGATGCTTTACAAATATATCAGTTTTTAATTGCTTTGTGTAGGAAGGGCACAAATTTTATACCGGGTGATATTACTACACATTCTCTATGTGGAGCTTTTTGGACTTCTTTTAAATGGGACACATCCGCATTGAGCAGGACAGATAATCAAGCTTTAACACAAGATTGTTCATGACATATCAACTTGACTTCAGCATATTGTGAGGCGAGTGAGGGCTACCTACAATCCCCTTCAAATTCATGATCTATGTCGTTCCAGCCCAAATATTGGCTGCCTTATCCTTTAGTGTCAGTAAACGTGATAGTGTTCAAGTCTGGAGGTCGGGATTTCACAATCAGAAAGATAAAACTATTTAGTACTTTTACTTTATTTAGCAAATGTTAAAAGAGAAGTTTGTATTTTTCAATCCTTGATAAAAAAAAGAACTTGCATAGCAAAAAGCCTTCTGTTAATTTTTATTCTACACTTGACAAAAGAATGGACAATTTTTTTTTTTTTTTTTTACGAGGGTTCGCAACAGCAGAGGTTATATATCAACTCTCGGTGTGCCGGTGTTTTTGAAAAAAAGCTCATTTGTAATTATGTTGGGTTTGAATGCAGGGCTGCTGGATTCGAACCCGGAGCTTTATCTCAGTGATGAGCGCCGTGTCAATGCCTAAACCGTTGCGACTGCCGATGTCCACCTGACAAAATTTTAAAATCTTTAAGATATGTGCAAAATATGTGTATAATCAGCTTTTATTAATTTCTTTGAGATTGTTTGGTAAAAACTGTATATGGTTTGGCCTAAATAAATAGATGGCCTTCATTGGAAAATTACTGCTTAATAGTTACTAGTCTGCTAGGGTAAAATATTTTGTTTGATTGAACTGATTTGTATCATTGGCTTTGTCCATCACCAATTTTTTTTGTTGTTATTGACAAATTCAACATATTATTGCTCTTATAAGCTGTCTTCTCATTTCCAGTATTTACAACTGGAACTTCTGACCCAATTTGATTGTAATTAATTATGAGGTTTTTTCAGATCAGAGTCAAGCCTGACAAAACTGGAGTACTCACAGATGGAGTTAAGCACTCCATGAATCCTTTCGATGAGATTGCTGTGGAAGAAGCAGTCCGTATGAAAGAAAAGAAGCTTGCATCTGAAATCATCGCAGTTTCCTGTGGCCCGGCACAATCTCAAGTAAGTAATCAATTTTTTCAGTCATGTGTTGTTTCATTTCTTAACAATTTTTTTTTTAAAGGAAACCTTGCGTACAGCTTTGGCCATGGGCATGGACAGAGGGATTCACGTCGAAGTCAGCGCAGCAGAAATGAACACACTTCAACCCATTCACGTTTCTAAAATCCTCGCCAAACTAGCACAAGATGAAAAAGTGGATTTAGTCATTGTTGGAAAACAGGTATTTAAGAATAAATTTATTACAAATACAGTAATTATGTATTTTCTATATTGTTCTTAGGCTATTGATGATGATAGTAATCAGACGGCGCAAATGTTGGCTGCGTACTTGGACTGGCCACAAGGAACATTTTTATCCAAGGTAAAAACATTGTTTAAATTAAAAAAAATGATTTAATCGTAGTTTCGTACTTTTAATGCATGTTTCCTCTGGTCAGATTGAAACAAATGATAAGGAATTGACAGTTACAAGAGAAGTCGACGGAGGATTAGAAACACTCAAACTGACTCTTCCTGCTGTACTCAGTGCTGATCTTCGCTTGAACGAACCTCGTTACGCTACTCTTCCTAACATTATGGTATATTTTTAAACATTAAAAATTAAAACGTATACTCACTTGTTGTAATTTTTAGAAAGCTAAGAAGAAACCGATTAAAAAGGTGACTCCAAAAGACTTGGGAGTCGACACCGCGAGCAGAATAGAAATTCTTTCTGTCGAGGATCCACCAACAAGGCAAGCCGGTGCAATTCTACCCGATGTTGACACCTTAGTGGCAAAACTCAAAGAAGGTGGCCATATATAAAAAGTAATTTCTCCAAATTATTTCTATTTATTTAATTATTTCTCCATAGAATTTTTTTTAATGGTAAATGCAATGAAAATTTCATATATTATAATAAGTTTTGAGCGATTAATTTTTTTCTACAATCTTTAAATAAAGTAAAATTTTCCACATAAGTTGATTTTCATTGCCTGGAATGAGTAAAAATTTCAAGGGGTAATTTCATTATTTTTTTCTTCAAAATTTCATACAATAATTAATAACTCTTTTTATTGTTACGACAGGTGCAATTCAATGGGACTCATTGTTAGAACCGAGAAATTCCAGCCATGTCAAGACCTTTGCATAGATTGTGTCTTTTAAATTTAATATAAATATTAAAAGTTATTTTTGTAATTATAAAAAAATATGTTGAGATTTACGTGTTTGTTTATTAAACTACCTTACCTTTTTACATACAACTTTTTTTTTTTTTTAAAGGAGATTTATTAACCTGAAAGGAACATAAAAAACGAGAAGATTAATAATTCCAAAAATGTATTTGTAAATAGTTAAAAAAAAAAACATTGTACATCCTTCAACACATTTTATTGTTAAAATTAACGGAAATTTAAATCTAGTCAGTTTAAACTTGAACAATAACATTTTATAATAAGGATTTTTTTAAAATACAACAAATGATTGTAAAAATTTATAAAATATATGAAATTTTAACATAAGGCACATTGTATTGCACTTTCGAGATTGAACGGTTTTTTGTTTGTTTTTAAAAACAAGTATTAACGACATTTTTCAGTTGACGACTGGTCTGCTGTAAAAAATGAGAAAGATTTGTTCAACAAAAACACAATTTATAAGAAAAAAATAATCTTAAAGTGTTTAAAAATCAATTATAAAATAAGAATCAAGCTATCAATTTTATTTAAAGTTTTACCATTTATCACTTTAATGGTATTGCATACTAACATTTTCATAAATATTTAAAGATAAAGTTGAAAATTCACTTAAATGGAAATTACTATGTGATTAACAATTTGTTCTAGCTTTTGTTAAATATATTCTAAGATAAACTAAAAACTTTTCTAGCAGAAAAAAATCAAGTCCTAGACCCTGTCTTAAGACTTATGTATAAAGAGTTATAAAATATATAAAAATTTAATACACTATATAAACAGTTAAAATTTTGAATTAAACATAATTTAATTATTATTATATAATATTTTGATTGCATTAAAATTGACTGTTTTAGTTTTAAGAGCCGATTTACAATTTGTTGTACGTTTGAGTTCGTTGTAGGTACCTCGTGTCGTCGATGACAAACCTGGAAATAAATGGCCCAATGTGAGTTCATCAAAGGTGGAAACGAAACCAAAACCTTACCTCCAGAAGAAATAAATTGCTGGACATGTGCAGAGATGCCATAAAGCATGTGCGTCCAAAACCCACATGTACGGCGGGAAATCGTGAATTTCAAAATACATACAGCAAAGGAGGGCGAAAACTGCGATAAAAAGATTTTTACAATGAGGAAGATGACGGTTCTTTAAAAGTAAAATGCCACTCAATGCTGCAGAAAGGACACCTGCAGTATTGTATCAATTAATTAATGATCCGTTAAAAGAGAATTTTTTCCTTAATATTAAATAAACTCCTTACCGACAAAAACATTTGCAAAAAGGTTGTAACCATAATCAAATGGTCCTGAGGATAAGTAGAGAGCATGATTAAAAAAGAACAGAAAACATACAACAGTATATATCACAGAATATCGTTTCCTTGCTCCGATCAAAATCCTGAAAAAATAGATTTTTTAAAAATGTTAACTTTCAACAAATTTTAATATGCATTATCTAGCAGAAGGATAATTGAGGGAAAATAACAAATATATTTTTAAACAGTCAAGTTTTTTAAATTATTTTCTTACAACAGCTCTACCCAGGATAGAGGCATGCGAAATGTTCCTCAAAGGACCGTCGCAGAAACTGATGGTAGAACTACTGAATGTTAGTTGTAGAATAGTAGCTGCTTCTGCTAACTACACGACATTTGAAAAATGGCAAAAAGGAGGGAAAACTCAAAAGGTGAGGTTGAGATAGGAAGTTGGTGTCCGAGTGGTTCGAGGTCATGATAGCTCAAGTGGTAGAGCAGCGGCGTATCTAGCCGAAGATCGTGGGTTCAAATCCCGCTCGTGCCATTGACTTTTTTATCTCAACTAAAAACCTTAATTAATTGTTAGGTACAAATATCGAGCTTGGGCAATGGTTTAAAGGATTTTGGATTGGTAGGACTGGATACTTTGGAGGTTAGAACCCACAGTTTGATTCTATACATCCTATTGGTCGATCTGTTTTCAATAGTAAAATTATGTAAAGGTGATCGACCAGCTACTATTTACAATATATTTAGTGGAATCGTTGTTTGCAGTTTTAAACTTGATGTTCCTTCTATCTAATAAATAAACAATAATCTTATAAGTAAATTAATTAATCTTTTTATGTAAGGTTTTGGTTGAAATGAAAAAGTGTCACGAACGGGATATGAACCCATCACCTAACTTTTTCATTTCAACCAAAACCTTATATAAAAAGATTAATTAATTAAAAGAAGTAATTTGGTCAATCAGACCACAAAGTATAACGGATTTATAAGTAAAATTCAATAATTTACCTCATTCCCATTGCATAAGCTCCAGAAAAAACAATAGCAAATGCTGAAAGATAGTCCATGAGCTCTGTGAACGGTGTATCCCTAGTGTGAAATATGGTTGACCAAAGCCATCCATTAATTGATATCTATAAACAATATATAATTTATTTTCCAAGCCAATACAGTAGATTCCCACTAATCTGAATGTCCATCTAATAATAACACGCTTCAGTCAGGGGGGAGGATTTTTTTTCTTTTTTGTGTGGAAAATATTGATTTTTCTTTAGTATTAATCAGTTATTTCAGTTATATTTCAAACTCCAAACTCTACTACCAATTTTTCACTGGACTTTCATTCTACAATTGTGAGGCTGGTATGGTGATGAACCTGTAACGACCTTTATGGTCGTTTTGGTATGCTTATCATTCTGTCAGATGTGTTTTGGCTTGTCACCATATTCAGTGGTGAGTTTGAACCAAAATTATTAATAAAAACTGAAAATTGTGAGAAGCTGAAATGCATCGTACAAACCAAAATTTCCAAAATGACCACATTACACTACCACCCTTGTTCTTGTTCCAAACCTCCAGCTTAATTTTTAACCAGACTGCTTTACTGCTTGTTTCTAAATTATTTTAGTAATTCCGCTAAAAAAATTTTTGCTAATTGAAACTGGGCTCGGTCCAAATCAGTCTGGACTAACGAGACTCTACTGTATATGTATAACAAAATTCCCACATACCAGTCCATAGCAAATCCAGATTTTGAACATTGGCACATTGGATTCATACTTTTTGAGCCATGAAACCATCATCTTGATGTGCATGCAGCAGTTCATGATCGAAAACAAGGCCGATGCAGGTTCTTGTACGCCTAAAAACCTGATGAACGGCCACTGTAAACATACATGATTGTATTTTTGAGTTTATCGTTACTTTTACGATACGTTTACTTTTCCATGAAATTGAGGCGATGGCCACCCTTTATTTTCAAACAGCCTAACCACTCCCCACATGCATCTGTACTGGCAGTCGTCTGAGCATTTCCAAAGCAGCAGCAGTGGCAATGGAATCAGGTCCCGCTTCGAATAATAATAACCAGCTGAAATAAAAACAACAATTATATAGATTTAATTTAAACAAAACATTAATTATACACGTTTATTATATACATAATTTATGTTATTGTACCATGTTATTTTTTTATTTTTTTTTTTAGAAATGGATAATAAAAAAATCAATTATCAAAATTAAGTTCCTTAAAAACACTATGCTTAAATGATAAAACTTAAAATTAGGAATATTCAATATTAAGGAAATTGATTAAACATTAATTTACAAATGATCTAGCAAATTTATTTCTATTTTGTCAGTTATAATAAAATGCAAAAGGAGATTACCATTTGATCATTGCTTTTGTATGTTGTTGCCTATTAATTTTGAATTTAATTTGGTGCATATTGTAAATGGGATTATATAATTTTAACAAATTCCTTTGATCCTTTAAACCAATGTTTAACACTGACAAAATTCAAAAGGAAGTTTCAATCTGAGTAGAGTAGGCATTTTGGTGGCTAGACAACACCTCATATTAATTTTTTTTAACTTTGAATATTGCGAAACAAATATGATTTTAGAGATTGATTAAAAGTTCATGTTGAACCAGCACGGGGTTTGTTACTGGGTCTGTCTCCACTCATGGGTTTTTGAGTGATTCAAACGCATTTCAGCATTGTGCCATCTTCAGTGAGGAACCCATCATTCAACAACTCTCGATTTAAAGTTGTTGAATCTAGGCTAGTTGTTGTTATATAGCAAGTTTGTATCTAAAAACCTGCTTGGACTGGGAAGTGGTAATCTTTTAAGGTAGGCTTTGTAATGAAGAATCAAAAATTGTCTTGCTGTCGTATAATTTGATTAAAAATAAATAAAGGTAAAAAATTCTTGTATGATATAATATAAATGTTAGGACAGTGGTAGCTAACTGGTTAGGGTGTCTGGCTTGTATTTTTTCATGCCAGTGGTTTTCTATCAATAAACTTTTGTTTATTTTGCATTTGAAGGAAAACAAACTTGTAAACACAGAAATCACTAACCCCCATTTAAAAATTAGTTTCACTATTGTTTATACAAATTACAATTCTATAACATAGTATGTAATACTTATAGATATCATGAATTTTGAGTAACAATTTATTCTTTGAAATCATATTCATATAGCAACTCTGTTAAAAAAAATTGAATATCAGCATTGTGCGAAGGAATCGTCAATGAAGATGGCCCAATGCTGAAACTTGAATAACTCAAAACCCCGTAAGTGAAGACAGGCTCTGTGGGTTCGTCTTCACTCGTGAATTATTTAGGTTTCTCACTGAAGATAGCACAAGATTGAAAAGTGGTTGATTAACTAAAACCAGCAAGTGGAGACGGACCAAGTGACTCTGTGTCGGTTCAACATGAGTTCACTGACTCGCAGACCAAAACCCATAATCAAAGTGGGCTGATCATAAACTACAAAGGATAAGACAATTTTATAAGTTTGATTTTGACAAGTTAGACATAATACACATACAAGTACACTAAACAAAACCTTATTTAATAATGCTTTTTTATTGTTTATAGAAATTATAATTCTATAACATAGTGTGTAATAATCCGCTTTAAAAAGGATTGAACACTGCACTCACTCCATTGTTCATAATTTCTTGTGTGTAATATACGTAGATATCAGGAATATTGAGGAACAAAACAAATTAAAATGGTTGAAATCAGAGCAAGTTTGTTTTTCAAGCCCCAAAGTGGACTGCTTATAAAATACAAAGGACAAGACAGTTTTATAGGTCTGATTTTGGTAAGTTAGGTATAATACACATACAATTATACTAAACAAAATTATTTAATAATTCTTTTTTTATTGTTTATAGAAACATAGTGTGTAATATATGTAGATATCAGGAATATTGAGTAACAAAACAATTTAAAATGGTTGAAATCGGTGCAAGTATGTTTTTCAAGCCCCAAAGTGGACTGCTTATAAAATACAAAGGACAAGACAGTTTTATAGGTCTGATTTTGGTAAGTTATGTATAATACACATACGATTATACTAAACAAAACTTTATTTAATAATTCTTTTTTTTTATTGTTTATAGAAATTATAATTCTATAGCATAGTGTGTAATATATGTAGATATCAGGAATATTGAGTAACAAAACAATTTAAAATGGTTGAAATCGGGGCAAGTATGTTTTGAAAGCCCCAAAGTGGACTGCTTATAAAATACAAAGGAGTAGACAGTTTTATAGGTCAGATTTTGATAAGTTAGGTAACTGCTTAAAAAATAAATACAAAGGGACGTATCAATCTATTAACGTTGGGCGTTGTAATTGTTGAGAATTTAAGTGATAAAGGAATTTGTTCCTGATTGTTTGTTTATAAAATATAATAGGAGGTTTCAATCTGATTAGAATAAGGCCGAAGGCGTTATCAGTAAGTTGCTGATACAAACCTTTGTCGCAGAGATCCATTCTGCATATTTCGACGCAGGTCTTGTAGGTGGGAAACGAGTTTCCGAGGGAGGCGGAGGCGATCCATGGTCTTTTTAAAACGAGGATGAGCAGGAGCAGAAGAGACCCCGGGAAAATATTCATTCTCAGCTAAATTCCATTACAAGTTGGCCGTGTGCAGGTAGACCGAAAAGGCGATTAGGCCGTGTTTCACATCGACCGCGGAATGGCATAACAGACGAACGACCCGAAGCTGAGCCGGAACAGTTAAATTAACGCGTTCGAGTGACACATGGGCTCCAAATTAGGCGGATCCCGGGGAAGTTGGTGACTGGCGACGGTCAGTGCCGGACGGGTCAGCTGTTCCTGTTCTGCAGAATGTTGATTAATCGGCTTCCGCCGGTAGAGCGCTGCAGGGCGTCGTTACTGGTTCTAGTTGAACCCTGCACCGGCAGGTCGCAGGAAATGTTCCGACTCGGCGCTTTCCACCTCCGACCTTATATAAAAAAAAAAGTCATTGCCGATTGCTCACAAAGTGACAAAATACTTACAAACTTACTAGTATACAGTCTGACACCATCCGATCAACCTAGCCTTCATGGTGTAAACATTTCGAGGTTTTTATTTTAAAACAGCGGAAATAAGAGGACCGAGACTAGTCGATTCAACTGCGGACAAATATGACAACTCTTAGATCAATCCATACAACAAATATGAACTCCAGAATAAATTGCTCTCCCTGCAATAAGTAGCAACTTCACCACCGTGCACGTTGCGCTCAAGAAAATTTCGAATATTATATTCCCTGTCACACAAAGGTCGTATTCTCTAGCTGTGCTGCTACCCATACAGAATCAATTTGGGAAAAGTGGCATAATGAATGGCGTGAAATGACCCTTAACAAGCTGAGAGAAATTAAGGAAGATGTAAAACAATGGTCTACCGCCACTTGAACCTTCTGTAAGGAAGTAACCATCCTAACACGTCTCAGAATATGTCACCATGAAGCATGGCTTTCTCATGGCGAGAGAACCTCCACCGATCTGTCAAGGTTGTCAGGAACCGTTAACAGTCAAACATATTTTTACTGTCTTTCTCTTTGAGCAGAAAGAAGCGCATAAGGTGGACAGATTTTGTCAGATGATGACACAGAGCAGAACAACTTTTCAATTTCACGAGGATGGCTGGCCTGCTCTCTAAAATTAAGAAGACGAGGCATGAATGTGGGTGGTGGCTGAGGCCGTCGCGGATATGGCGAGCCTGGCATGGTCATGTCGGCCCTCTTGCTGGCTGGCGGTGCCTATTCATCTATTTCAAATATTTCTGTTCAAGGCAGATTCTGACCCTTAGTGGTTTTCTTGGAATCGCCAACAGTGTATTGGGTATTCTAGTAGGATGATGGTTTTTTTTACTGGAATCCACGAAAGATGAGTTCAAAGCCAAGAGCTTTGTGATCCGAGTCGGACTTTGACTTCTATAGGAGTCTTTGAATGGAACGGACATGGGTATGGAATGTGAGGCAGCCATGACTGTCAGCTTCGTTAGAAGAATTATTTGGGGGTGGAACGACTCACGGAGTTATTGGACGAAAGTGCAGGCTTTGTCAAGATCGGACATGTACCATGACCCAGCATAAGAATTAGTAAACCAAGACCGAACAACGGTCAAATATCAAAAACTCATAGGTCAATCAATAAAATATATATCAATAACAAGCCTATCTATACTCAACGTATAGCTCTTATTAATTTCCCCCAGGGGGTCGAAGTCACGACTGCTCAAGTGAATAGAGCAGCGGTGTATTGAGCCGAAGTTCGTGGGTTCGAATCCCACTCGTGACGCTAATTTTTCATCTCAACCAAAAACCTTAGACAAAAAGAATATTTAATTTGAATAATTAATATGGTCAATTATGACCACTAAGCAAATTAAGGATAAAGGATTACTAAAATAGTTTGTAATTTGAAAAACTTTTGATTTACCCGTTATTATTTTCGATTATAGTTGAAGCTGAAATCGTTTTATTTTCTCATTGAGGATAAACCCGAGATATCTGTTTTTTGTTAAAACTTAGAATTTTGTACTTTACTACCACGACAGTTTCAAATAACAACAGCACTACATTTAACCTCACAAAAATAAAATTCTACGCCATTTTCACAGCTGAGCTCTTCTGAAAAACAACCATGAAATACATATACAAACATTAATTTCTAACAATTAAGTAGTTATTTATTACGTTGACCGTAAACATTGTAATAAACACATACACATTTCACAGACTTACAATACTTGAGAACCTCTTCATAACTAGAGGAATGAAGCAATCTGTACTGAAGGAATCCCGTTAGGAATCCAACTGAGAGGAGCTTCCTGTCTACTTGAGCCCTACCTGAGGAGTGTTTTTGTTGTAGACTAAAACAATAATTTGATCTTTTTTTATATCACAAATATGCAGTTCGGATGATAACCTCTGGCCGATTTTATGGAGATATGTTGTACATAGGATTTTATATATAGTGCTACATTCTTTTCTCGTCAAGTTTTTTAAAAAATTTGTATCCTATACATATTAATATACACTGGCATCAAAAAATTCCACTTGTAATATAACTTGCTTTTTACATATTTTTATAGATTAATCGGTGTTTCACGTTTTTTAACGTTTAATAATTGAGTTTTTGTCTAAAAAAGTAAAAAAAAGTGTAATTGCTAAGGGAAAAAAAGAAAAAAAAGACGGTCGGTAAAATTTGTTTTAATTAGATTCCTCTTGCCTTGATTACATCTCGAAGACGCCTCGGCATACTTTCTACCAGGAAATGTCTCTTTTCTGGAGGTTAGCCCATTCTTCACGAAGAGTCCTTTCAAGATCATGGAGTGTATCAGGAAGGGATGGACGTGCTCTCATTCGTCTTTTTATGTTGTCCCATAAATGTTCGATAAGGTTCAAGTCTTGAGAACGGGCTGGCCAGGCTAACAAATGTTAGATGTTGAAGGTACATTTGTACTATGGGAGCGACATGAGGACGGGTATTATCGTGCATTAGAATCGGATTGTCGTTGATTTCATCGAGGGTAGGAAACGCATGATGTTCCAAAATTTCATCCACATAGCGACTGGTCGTCAAAGACCCTCCACGAACAACAACCAACTCTGTGCGAGATTCTCCATTGAAATTCCCGCGCACATCATCACTGAGCTACGCTGAAAAGGTCGGATCTGGGAGAAACTACAGGCTTCGTACCTTTAATTTCGCCTTCTCCCCACTCTTTCACACCTAGCTAGAGATCGTAGAGTAAAACTCACCCCGATGGTTCATATAACCTCGTAAACAAAGGTTAATCATCAAAAGACGACATTATCATCAATAGTAGCCACATTATCATTTACAAGCAGGAAGAATGGCCATGTTGTATACTTTAATTTTTTTTTCAATTACTGTCGACCAACTGCTGGTACAAGGCAAAGAGTTCTGTATTAGAAGAAATGGAATTATTCTTCTCAATGACAACCCAAGGATATATTTCGTTGGTGACGCGGCTGAAATTATTTCACGTGTGCTTGCAGCTTCATTAATATCGCCGGCTATAAACCTTCAAACGTCTCTTCCAATGCGAAATTATTTAAACAATGAAAGCTTTTGTGTCAAAAGGTCAAAATTGCATAGCAGGAGTATTATTGGATTTAATAATTTGTTGAAGTCGTGAGGAGCGGTCAAGAATGCAAAACGCTTTTTTCATTTTTTTTACCGACGTTTCTACCTTTATTCGTCTCATCCTCACATGGGCATGGGTAAATTACAAAATATAAGTTGTTTGGAAAAAATCCAATTTAAGATGTAAATATAAATTTTGAACCAAGTATTTCATGCTCACATAAAGTATGGTGCTATTCTTGAAATGTCATATTGGTTTTGTGTGAAAGTGTTGTGAAACATGAATTTGTATTCTGCTGTTTTTATATGATTGTGACAGGCCGGGGAACGGGAAATCTGGGAAATTTTCTTTGATCACATGCCGTTTTATTTAACTCAAAGGAAATCGAGAATAGGAATTTTCTGGATTGGATTTGTGATTCGACATTCGATATTGGAAAAGAAGTTAATTATTAAGGAAGATGACGAAGGAATGGAAAATATAAAAATAATGTTTAATACTTTATTTGCTTTATGATTTTGGCGTAGCTACGCCTGAATTTGCAATGTATCTGTTCTATAGTTAATGCTTGTCTGTCTCTGTTAATGTAAACCATTTCTATAAAGTTGCGTTTGTATTTGTTTTTTCCGTGTTTAGTATTTGTCTTTTGTCGAAATCAAAGTTGTGTTGTTTGTTTTTGAAAGTGATATGGATTGGTTTTTGATGTTTTACAGTCATAAATGTGTTGTTTTCCGTTTTTTAGATATTGCGAAGTAATTCCAATGTTTGTTGCTAGAGAGTTCATAAAATTAATTTTATAAATTACATCGGATTTGTAGGCTGTTGGTGTTGGGTCTATGACTTTGGAAAAAAGTGTATGTACTGTTTTATTGTATTTAAAAGCTATTTTAATGTGTTCGAAGGACAGAAATGTACTTAAATTGTGTGACAAGGTGTGGTCGAATGAAATGGACATTTATATTGGTTTGTCTTTGAGTGTGTTGATGTGTTGTGTACTGTGGAGGATGTTGTTTTTTGTAGTGCTGGGTCATAATTGTTTATGATTTTGTTCATTATGTTTTTATGGTATTCTTATGTAAGATTTGTTTATATGTTTGAATATTTTTTAAGGTTAAAGGATTCATGACTTAGAGATAAGATTCTGTGTAATCCATTAGATTTCGTGGTCCGATTATTCTCACATTGAGTCGCATTCCTACTCACTCTCTATATGGAGTTAATGACGCTTTTCCCTTCAGTTATGTGTGTCACGAAAGAAACGTGGGCTTAGTACAACAATGTTTAACAAAAATAAATAACTGTTCATATGCTGACAGTAAATCAGTTTTATCTTTGTTTTACTATTATGTTTTTCTCTTTTTACGAGCAAAACAAAAATCCTAGCAGAAGAAAACATCGAATCTACGACGCTACATGAAATCTTTCTATCTGAGATAAGATCGGTGTTTTCTTTAGGGCAGATTCAAGAGTCCGGAAAATCCAGGACGGGTATAATTGCAGCTGGGCCAGCAAAACACTTCTTCCTCGACCCTTTGGCGAAAGACCAAGTCAATATCGAACGATACGTCAAAGAGCGTATATGACGATATTTTTCGCCGGGTCTCTCGAGGGGACGGAGGCAATTTACGTATTTGAACCCTCTTGAATTATCGAGACGACCCTTGGTTTTATTCATGGGGCTCTAATAAAAGAAAGGAATGTTTTATATTACCGTTCAGGCTCATTGTTAACCGTTAATCTTTGTAGTTGGTTTTCGTTAATTTTTTTTAATTTTCCATACTTGTATATTTATAGTGTTTGACATTGGATGTTTTCAATACCGAATATTTCGCTTTTCTCTTAAACGCAGACAATCTGTAACAAGTTGGGCAAAAGTGCCTGTTGCGAACCTGCGCGACAAAAAATGGTGGGTTACTTAAATTTGTGCTTTGAAAATTATCATATTATAATTTGACGCATTCGTAAGATGTATAGACTGAGAAAACTATCAAAAAAATAAGCACGCTTTTTCTTATTGACATTATTAAAAAAACGTACATATTTAAATATTCGAAAAATAAGTCTACAATATATCTATTAGGTTTCGTGATCCGATCGACCAAATAAATTCTTTTCAATTAATTAATCTTTATGTAAGGTATTGGTTGAGATAAAAAAGTCAGTGTCACGAGCGGGATTCGAACCCACGACCTTCGGCTAAATACGCCGCTGCCCTACCACTTGAGCTATCGTGATTTCGATCCACTCGGACAGCAACTTTCCATCTCAACCATCACTTCATTTCAACCAATACCTTACATAAAGATTAATTAATCGAAAGAATTTATTTGGTCCATCGGACCACGAAATCTAATGGATTTAATAAGTAAAATGAAGTACTAGCTATCTTCACAAAAGCTCTCCGTGGCCATTTCATTTGTCGCCTAGAATCGCATTCTGATCACACGACATTTAGAAAATGGCATAAAGGAGGGAAAATTCGAAAGGTCAGTTGAGATGGGGAGTTGGTGTCCGAGTGGATCGAGCCATCGAGGTCACGATAGCTCAAGTGGTGAGCAGCGGCGTATCAAGCCGAATATCGTGGGTTCAAATCCCGCTCATGACACTGGCTTTTTTATCTCAACCAATACCTTACATAAAGTTTAATTAATTGAAAGAAGTTATTTGGTCAATCGGACCACGAAATCTAATGGATTATACAGAATCTTATCTCTAAGTCATGAATCCTTTAACCTTAAAAAATATTCAAACATACAAACAAATAAGTTCTTTTCAGAGGATCTTCGGAAGAGGTCAAAACTTTTGACCTCTTCCGAAGATCCTCTGAAAAGAACTTCTTGTATCCAGCAGGTCGATAATCTATTTTCATCGATACAAACAAATCTTCCATAAGAAAAAGTACCATAAAAACATAATCAACAAAATCATAAACAATTATGACCCAGCACTACAAAAAACAACATCCTCCACAGTACACAACACATCAACACACTCAAAGACAAACCAATATAAATGTCCATTTCATTCGACCACACCTTGTCACACAAATTAAGTACATTTCTCTCCTTAGAACACATTAAAATAGCTTTTAAATACAATAAAACAGTACATACACTTTTTTTCCAGTCATAGACCCAACACCAACAGCCTACAAATCGGATGTAATTTATAAAATTAATTGTATGAACTCTCTAGCAACATACATTGGAATTACTTCGCAATATCTAAAAAAAACGGAAAAACAACACGTTTATTCAAGTTCGTGGGTTCAAATCCCGCTCATGACACTGGCTTTTTTATTTCAACCAATACCTTACATAAAGATTAATTAATTGGAATTCCTTGTAATAATCATTTAGCCGTGTTTAATATTGTGTGTTGGAGTGATGTATAATTAAGGTAGCGATCAGGTCGAAACGTCGGCAAAAATAAAATAAAAAGGTGTTCTTCTAAACTACCTCATTTTTGACCACTCCTCACGAC